ATCAACTGACCCAGATGCACCAGAGACCCCATTTTATCTGGCACAATTCCACTTGTCAGGGATCAAGTAAGGCAGGGACAGGGACAAGGCAGGAGGCATCTCCTCCCCCAGCCTCAGCCTGCAGCACTGACACAGGCACAGACAGCCAGGGAAGAGATTTGTCATTGGGAACCTGCCACAGGTAGCTGTGGGCTGGGCTGTCAGAGGATGACAAACTCACACCCTGCCTAGGCTGCAACCATTTGGAAGTCTCCCTCTACTTCAGTGGAAAATTCAAAGGACTTTCCATCAGATGAGGTTTCCCTATTCCTCCCAGTGCAAAACCAGGTAATGTCCATGAATCTCCTTCAAATCTCAAAGGGTTCAGCTCAGAAACAGCCCCAAGGAATAGTTTTCTCCCTCAAGGGCAGGAGGGAGGAGTGGGGACGTTTCTTGTTTCATTCTAAATGCCTTCCTTTTCTCTATTAATTCAGTCTGGATCTGCAGGCAATAAACTGGCCATTCAATTGCAAATTGCCACTTTTGCTCCGCTTCATTGCTCCATGGGTTTTTTTCCCCCTGCTTTCTCTCCTGGAGAGACACCCAAAACCAACATAAAACATGGCCTGCCCAAAACACTCCTGATCTTGCCTAATACTGTCAATTCCAATTTTTCTCAATGGAAAGAGTACAGGGCAGGTCATTCTGAAATACTCTCCAACTGAACTGCTGCAAGTAAGAGAACTAATTTTTTACATAGTTTCATAAAGGATAAAATCATGTGGTATCCAAGCCATTAGTGAGGAATACAGCTCTCAAAAATGGATTTGTTTCCCTCTGTGGAACGTCCCGATCAGTAAGAAAAGAGAGACAGGTAAGGACTAATGAGATAGTTCATTCCTAGTCCAAAATTAATACAGCAAAATTGGCAACTACTTTAATGAGCAATACTTCTCCCCTGCCGCATTAAGCATACCAGCAATGAAGGAGTCATTCCAAAGGGGCCATACCCAGGATTTGCCAGAACTAACCCTGAGGAAAGGGACCAGGGGATCTGATCCCCTTTTCTGCATCAGCAAATTGATGTGCTTCATAGACACATGTAGGTTACTAAATGGAGAGGGATTGCTTTCCCAGATTGGACAGCTTTAGCTGCTCTGACTGCTTGTTGGTGTTTTCTCAGCCATAAGACAGACTTTGAACTACAACACACCCCAGAAACCATTCAAAGACCTCTCCTGGTATTGATACATTCTGAGGACATGAAGTCTGCACTTCACACCCATTGCAAAGAGAGCCTGAAGCGCAGTGTCCAGCTGAGCTCTTCCTTGGCTCAGCTGCTTTCCTGGGCTCACAGCTCAGGAAGAGGTCTCCAATCTCTGCCTACAGCACATAAATTGAAAATCTACCAGCCAGGACTTAGCTTGGTCTCCTTACCTTATGTTCTTTTCCCTCTGACCTCTGCTCCAGGTTGCTTCTTCTGACAACAGGAGATGGGAAGAGTGAGGTGAACAGCACACTGGAGCAGCAGACACCTGGGCTTACCTCATCTCCTGCGACTCCTGCAAATCCATCTGGGGAGAGCTGTGCACAGACCCAGCAGCACTGCCAACATGGGGAATTCCTGCCTTGCGTAGACGGGGGATCAGAGATTGACCCAATGATCTCTTCTTCATTTCCCCTCCAGTGGAATACAGCAAGGAGGTCTGGAAAGAGTAGAACACAGTGCTCAGATCAAGCATCCACACTTGCCCTCTTTGATGGCTCAAGAATTTTATCAATGCTCTTAAATGACACCTGGTAGGAAAAGTCAAACTGATGCAGCAACCTGGCTATGGATGGGGAATGCAAAGGGAACTGGACAGGGACAGACCATGTCCCACATTTCCTGGCTCTTCCCACATTCTCACTTCCCTGGAAATGGGACTACATGCCCAGCTGGCATCCACATGTTTGACATCAAGGTGTTCTGAGCTGCCACTGCCTCCACTGGCCTTTTGGATGCCATGGGACTGGGTTTAGATCACTGTTCTCTCCCTGCTACTAAGGTGTCTCACAGCCAGTGCTGATCTCCAGCCATGTCCCCACAAAGCCATTCTGCAGGATCTCCAAACCTGCTTGTCTCAAGCCCCTCATTTCTTCTGCTGCTGCCCTTCCCTCCCACACTTCCCCAGCAGCCTTTGAGCCCACATGCTGCTGCTGAGCTCTCACCATGCTCCCTGCTCTCCAGCTCCCACACATCCATCATCTCAGCCTCACTGCCTTTTAGGAAGTTCAGCACAGCTCCCTGCCCTGCTGCTCTCTGCAAGGTCTCTGCCTGCCCAACTTGCTCCAGGGCCCCCATGCCATGGCCAGGAATGGGGCTGGAGGCAGCAGGGGCAGATGCACACCCATTCTTACTATCCCATCATTTCTGGCCCAGCTAAAGGGCTAAACCAGGACCTGTTCAAATTAAACTCAAAGGGTCAGTTCCTGTCAGGGAATAGGCCTCAGAGCTCTGCCAACAGCACATAAACTGAAAATTTACCACACTGGACTTAGCTTGGTCTCCTTACCTCACTTCCTTTTCCCTCTGAAGTCTGCTGCTGTTTCTTTCTACTCTCCTCATCCCAGCCGCTGCCAGCTTTCCTAGTCTCCTGCTCTCCATGGCACACCTTGCTTGGTGTGGCAGAAGAAGAGCTCCTCTGGAGGGAAAGCAACGGCTTGGAGGGAAGGAGCATCGAGGGACTTGCCAGAGAAAACTTCCTGGCAAGAGGGTAGGCAGTCAGGCCTGCAAAGAGGAGACACAAAATATATGTGGGCACACAAACCCATAATGCCACCTACTCTGACACAGAGCCAGCACTGACTACCATGGACCAGTTCTCCCTAAAATTTGGTGGGGTTTTTTTTTCATTTGTCTCCAGCCCTTTAGCTCCCTTTACTATCCTCACCCTTTCCTTCAGTCGTCTTTCCTTTTCGGGTAAAGTCCATCTTCGAACCCGTGCTTCTGCCTGGCAGAAGGATCTGGGTTCGAATCTGGGATCACTCTCAGAGCTGACAGTGACAGGAGCTCGGTACCCAGCCTCAGAACAAGGTCGGGTGACTCCAGTCGCCAGCGGTCGGCACAGAGAGGCAGAGCCAGACGCGTCTGCTGCCACTGTGGCCGTGCCAACCACAACCTTCACAACCTTCACAGCCCCAGCGTGGGGCTGCCCCTTTGTGACACAATAGCCCATGGGGCTGCCCCTTTGTGATGCAATAGCCAGTGTTTCTCTTATTTCCATGGCTGCAAAACCCCACCCCAACTCCACCCCCTTCCATTCCTTTCCCAAGGACAGCCACCCCTAAGCCCAGCCTGGCCAGGCCTGAGGGTTTCACAGTGTTGAGGATGTCAACTCTTTCCAAAGCTACTTTTCAAGGCCGCTGTCATTCCCACTCACTTCTGGGTTGCAGCTTGTTGGTGTGGGATTTTGTTTCAATCTCTTCACATCAAACAAAGTGGTGGGACACAAACAATGACACCGGGCAGTGGAAGTAAAAGGAGCTTTGCACTCCCCTGTAAATGACCCCAGAATTCAATTGGCCGAGAGCTGTAGGGAACAAACTGTCCCATCTGAACGTTCCTCTTTTGTTCTACTTCATTGTTCCAGGGGTTTCTTTCCTGCTTTCTTTATTGCAGAGACACCCATACCTGACATAAACATGATCTGCCTCAAAACATTTCTGATCTTGGCTAATACTGTCAATTCAAATTTTTCTCAGTGGAAAGAGTGGAGGACAGGTCATTCTGAAATACTCTCCAACCGAACTGTTGGACATAAGAGCACTAATTTTTTACATGCTTTCAGAGAGGGTAAAACCATGGGGCATCCAAGCTGTAAGAGAGGAATACCTCTCTTAAAACTGGATTGCTTTCCTCTGTAGAATGTTATAGTCAGTAATAAAACAAATACAGGTAAGGATTAAGGAGATAGGTCCTTCTTAGTCCAGAATTAATTCAGAAAAAATTTCAACTTCTTCAATAACCAAAACTTCTCCTTAACTGCATTAAACATTGCAGCTGCATACCAGCAATTAAGGAGTCATTCAAAAGACGCTATACCCAGGATTTGGCAGAACTAACCCTGAGGAAACGGACCGGGTGATCTGATCCCCTTTTCTGCATCAGCAGAATTATTTCTCCAAGTCTCATCTCTGCTATCATTACACGCCCAGAGATGCCAAAATAACAACCACAGTGTCAATGAGGCTTTCAACTTGAAAGCATCAACTGACCCAGATGCACCAGAGACCCCATTTTATCTGGCACAATTCCACTTGTCAGGGATCAGGCAAGGCAGGGACAGGGACAAGGCAGGAGGCATCTCCTCCCCCAGCCTCAGCCTGCAGCACTGACACAGGCAGAGAGACAGACCTGGGAAGAGATTTGTCACTGGGAACCTGCCAGACGTGGCTTTGGGCTTGGGCTGTCAGAGGATGACTCTCACCAGCCTAGGCTGCAACCTCTACTTCAGTGGAAAATTCCAAGGACTTTCCATCAGATGAGGTTTCCCTATTCCTCCCGGTGCTAAACCAGGCAATGTCCATGAATCTCCTTCAAATCTCAAAGGGTTCAGCTCAGAAACAGCCCCAAGGAATAGTTTTCTCCCTCAAGGGCAGGAGGGAGGAGTGGGGACGTTTCTTGTTTCATTCTAAATGCCTTCCTTTTCTCTATTAATTCTGACATTAAAATGGCTGCAAGCAGATCTAAGACACATGCAGGACAGAGAGAAATGTTTTCTTTCATGAGCTGCATTTCCAGAATCCCAAGGTACAACTCCAGTTCCTGTCACTCAACACTACACACTGGAGGTATTTTCACTGCACCACTGGAGAACACTCCCAGTCACTGGGCTCTGGGAGAGTCCATTGTGCCCGTCAAGGAACTGAAACTAATTTAAAGAAAATTTTAAAAGAATGGCTTTTAACAAAGCTTTCCAAATGTCACCTCAAAGTCAAGATCCCAATGGTCATTTTAGGACAGAGATGCCCTGTATTCACCTGCATGTTCTGGGGTCTTCTCTTGGCTTATGGTGCCGGGTCTTGGCCTGGAGAAAATGGAGGACAAAAGAACATATGAGGAGCTAGAAAGAGAAGGGAGGGAATGGGCGTACCATGCAAGGAGGCAAACCTTCTTAGCATGGTCACTCTCATGATGGAGGAAATACAACATATAAACCCAACAGGGTGCAAAGATGATAAACTGTCCCTAAGTTTTCAGTTCCTGGAGTCACACAGAGCTGGCCAAGCTCTGGCTGAAATAACAGCCAAGTCCAGCAGGGGACCCATCCTGAGATGCTTTGAAGCCCTGCCTCCTCTGCCCCAGCACCACCACCTCTGCTCTTGGAGCATTGCTCTTGGGTTTGACATTTGATGGGCAAAATTATGAATACAGAGGTTTGCCTAAATATATGGAAGACTGTGCCAAAATCTCCAGAGCAGATTCAAAGAGTGAGGTGAACAGCACACTGGAGCAGCAAACACCTGGGCTTACCTCATCTCCCGGGACTCCTGCAAATCCAGCCGGAGAGATCTGGGCACAGACCCAGCAGCACTGCCAACACAGGGAATTCCTGCCTTCTGTATTGGGGGGATCAAAGGCAATTCCAGTGACCCCTTCTTCATTTCCCCACCACTGGAATATAGTGAGGAAGCCTGAAAAGAGTAGGTAAAACATCCAACTTTGCCAGCTTTCCTACCTCAAGTCATACAGATAAACCCTCAAATGCGACCTGGCAGGAAAGGACAAGTCAAAATGATGCTGTTGTTTGGCCCAGCAGGGGGAATGGAAACGGAACTGAAGAGGGAGAGACCATGTCAAATATTAGCCTCCTCTGCCCATATGCTCACTCCTCTGCAAGTGTGGCTGCATTCCCAGCAAGCATCCACATGTTTGACATCAAGGTGTTCTGAGCTGCCACTGCCTCCACTGGCCTTTTGGATGCCATGGGACTGGGTTTAGATCACTGTTCTCTCCCTGCTACTAAGGTGTCTCACAGCCAGTGCTGATCTCCAGCCATGTCCCCACAAAGCCATTCTGCAGGATCTCCAAACCTGCTTGTCTCAAGCCCCTCATTTCTGCTGCTGCTGCTGCCCTTCCCTCCTACACTTCCCCAGCAGCCTTTGAGCCCACATGCTGCTGCTGAGCTCTCACCATGCTCCCTGCTCTCCAGCTCCCACACATCCATCATCTCAGCCTCACTGCCTTTTAGGAAGTTCAGCACAGCTCCCTGCCCTGCTGCTCTCTGCAAGGTCTCTGCCTGCCCAACTTGCTCCAGGGCCCCCATGCCATGGCCAGGAATGGGGCTGGAGGCAGCAGGGGCAGATGCACACCCATCCTTACTATCCCATCATTTCTGGCCCAGCTAAAGGGCTAAACCAGGACCTGTTCAAATTAAACTCAAAGGGTCAGTTCCTGTCAGGGAATAGGCCTCAGAGCTCTGCCAACAGCACATAAACTGAAAATTTACCACACTGGACTTAGCTTGGTCTCCTTACCTCACTTCCTTTTCCCTCTGAAGTCTGCTGCTGTTTCTTTCTACTCTCCTCATCCCAGCCGCTGCCAGCTTTCCTAGTCTCCTGCTCTCCATGGCACACCTTGCTTGGTGTGGCAGAAGAAGAGCTCCTCTGGAGGGAAAGCAACGGCTTGGAGGGAAGGAGCATCGAGGGACTTGCCAGAGAAAACTTCCTGGCAAGAGGGTAGGCAGTCAGGCCTGCAAAGAGGAGACACAAAATATATGTGGGCACACAAACCCATAATGCCACCTACTCTGACACAGAGCCAGCACTGACTACCATGGACCAGTTCTCCCTAAAATTTGGTGGGGTTTTTTTTTCATTTGTCTCCAGCCCTTTAGCTCCCTTTACTATCCTCACCCTTTCCTTCAGTCGTCTTTCCTTTTCGGGTAAAGTCCATCTTCGAACCCGTGCTTCTGCCTGGCAGAAGGATCTGGGTTCGAATCTGGGATCACTCTCAGAGCTGACAGTGACAGGAGCTCGGTACCCAGCCTCAGAACAAGGTCGGGTGACTCCAGTCGCCAGCGGTCGGCACAGAGAGGCAGAGCCAGACGCGTCTGCTGCCACTGTGGCCGTGCCAACCACAACCTTCACAACCTTCACAGCCCCAGCGTGGGGCTGCCCCTTTGTGACACAATAGCCCATGGGGCTGCCCCTTTGTGATGCAATAGCCAGTGTTTCTCTTATTTCCATGGCTGCAAAACCCCACCCCAACTCCACCCCCTTCCATTCCTTTCCCAAGGACAGCCACCCCTAAGCCCAGCCTGGCCAGGCCTGAGGGTTTCACAGTGTTGAGGATGTCAACTCTTTCCAAAGCTACTTTTCAAGGCCGCTGTCATTCCCACTCACTTCTGGGTTGCAGCTTGTTGGTGTGGGATTTTGTTTCAATCTCTTCACATCAAACAAAGTGGTGGGACACAAACAATGACACCGGGCAGTGGAAGTAAAAGGAGCTTTGCACTCCCCTGTAAACTGCCCCTTTGTGACGCAATAGCCACTGGTTCTCTTATTTCCATGGATGAAAAACCCCACCCCAACTCCATCCCCTTCCATTCCCTTCCCAAGGACAGCCACCCCTAAGCCCAGCCTGGCCAGGCCTGAGGGTTTCACAGTGTTAAGGATGTCAACTCTTTCCAAAGCTACTTTTCAAGGCCGCTGTCATTCCCACTCACTTCTGGGTTGCAGCTTGTTGGTGTGGGATTTTGTTTCAATCTCTTCACATCAAACAAAGTGGTGGGACACAAACAATGACACCGGGCAGTGGAAGTAAAAGAAGCTTTGCACTCCCCTGTAGATGACCCCAGAATTCAATTGGCCGAGAGCTGTAGGGAACAAACTGTCCCATCTGAACGTTCCTCTTTTGTTCTACTTCATTGTTCCAGGGGTTTCTTTCCTGCTTTCTTTATTGCAGAGACACCCAAACCCAACATAAACATGATCACTGTTCAGTGGGCTGGTATGATCAGTGCATCTGTAGGGTGTAAATTGGCCATGCAAAGTTCTCCTTCTTTGTGCCACGGATTTATTCCTGCTTGCTTTCCTGCTGACACACCCAAACCCAACATTACAACACCTGCCTCAAAGCAATTCTCATTTTGACTGTCCTTGAAAATCCAAAACTGTCTTCAGAGCGTTTCCCTGTCCCCAGGGACAGCCTCCAAGGCTGGGCTCTCTCCTGCACGGAATCAAGAAGAGCAGCTGCACTTGCCAGTGGCTCCGGGGCCTGACGATCAGCACTTTGAATGCAGCTTTTGTCCACACTCTGCCCCCTGAGCCGAGCAGCCTTCCTGGGCATGGGCACCACCTCTGCAGGCCAACATCCTCCAGGCACAGCTGCAGGAAGGAGATTGCAGTAAGTCCTGGCTGAAGGAGTCTCCAGGCTGCTGCAGCCCTTCACCTGCAGCAGAATCTTCTTGCACTGCTATGGGATGGGGGAGCAAAGGGGTAACGGGTTTGGAATTCTTGTCTCCAGCAATTCCCACCAGTCTGCAAACATTTTTCAGTACAAAAGGGGTGGATAAGATTTTAAAACTCATCCATGAGCAAGTCTGAGCCAGAAGTCAAAGCACAAGGGAAAGACTCCCAAAACTGCCACCCACAGGGGAAGGAAGCCGAAAAGCAGACGAAACAAGTGCCATTGCAGCTGAATTGCCTGCATTTATCCCATGGACCAACCTTTCTGTAAAAAGCACCTCAATTCAAGCACACAGCTTAAGATCAAGGAATAAAAGGCTTTCAAGAGCATTAAAATGTATACGATTCATGCTACTTTCAGGAAGAGGTCAATGCTAAATTCCTTAAAAACACAAATGCTCCTCTATTTGGGACTGCATCCTTCAAAAGCACAAATGCAGGTTTAGAACTGAAAAACTGTTTCCATTGAAAAAAACCTTTAAGATTATAGAGTCCTTCCAATGACCTGAGACCACTGACACTGCCAAGACCACCACTAAAGCATATCCCAGGACAGGATGCATTTAGGTTTTAGGTTTACATTGCAGCTTCTCTACACTTTGTGTCTCCACTTTGCAGATAGCACTGGCTACAGTCTTACCAAGAAGTTTTCTCTGAACACTTCTTATGCTCCCATACCCACAAAGTCCTTGCCACCAGGCCAGATGAGCTCTCTTTCCTCCAAGCTCAGAAACAAGCTTCAGCCTGTCTGAAGAGTCTTTCAAGAATAGCATTTATGTGTTAGGCCTCATAGTTACAGATATACATATGTTCGGATATTAGATGTGGTTTGAATAAATGTTCTGATTGCATCGTTCAGTTTTGATGACATCTTTTTAATTGTATATATTTTATTTTGATTATTTTAAAAAAATAATTAATTAAATATAATTATTGGAAAAGGAGAATGTGAGACCAGGACGTTCTACCCTAGAGGTTATGGGAGTGCAGCTCACTCCATGTACCAGTGTCTCACCACACCCTTTCCTTGCTGGGCCTCTCCTCTTCCACTTTTGCCATGTTTTCTTTGTGTCACTTCTGCTGCTCTTCATTACTTGCCATGACAACAGGGCCACACATTGCCATGTCTGGGGGACAATGGATCCAAAAGATCCTCTATTATCAAAAGTTTTCTACCTAGATGAGTTCTGTGCTCACCAAAGAAACAAAGAGAAGTGTGTCCAAATGCTAAAGCTTTGCTCCTTTGCAACCTCACACAGACCTGGCTCACAGGTGTCTTCATTCACAATTTCATAGGTAAGAAGAGGTTGTGTATTTCACTGGGAAAGGATGCATTGCTTTGGAAAAGTCATCTCTATATTTACCCAGGACAGCAGTCCAACTTTGTTGTTTGCAACTTGCTTGCCAAGGGATGAGTGGACTGTGCAGCCAATAACAGGTGACAAGGGTTCCTCAAATCTATTTACACTCCAGCCTGGGTGCCATTCAGCCCAGAGCTATGGGACAATACCCTAGTGCATCCCACACACATTCTGCCCCCAAGAAAATCTTGGCTGGGCTTATTAGAGAGAAATAAATTGAAGAGTAATAAAGTAGACAGTTAAACTTGTCACTTTGGAATGACTCTCCTGCTTTCCAGTGTCAACCCTGCACCTCATGCTCCCAAGCCTTGTTACCAACAAGCATCTAAGATTGCTTAAAAAATTCCCAGGCAAGGTTCAGTAAAAACCAGATTGAATATTAAGCAACAGCTCAGGAAAATTCATTGGCAACATTCACACTATTACTTACTAGTCGATTAAGGCACAACAAGGAAGAAAAAGGTAACAAACAAAATGCAGTCAATCAAACGAGAAACATTCTGAGAATTATGTGTGTGTATGTGTGTGTGTGTGTGTTTGTGTTTAGGTGTTTTAGCTTTAAGAAAAGGTCAGAAAGGTCAAGGCTAAAAAGGAACAAGGCCTAAAAGCTGAACTGCACTCAAGCTCAACAGTGGTTAAACCAGAGCCTCCAGCAGTGGGGCTATTGGCCCAGGATCCATGGTTGATCAGTCACCCTGCCAGTGCAGCAACCTTGAGAGCTCGCTGGCTCTGAGAGGCCCCACTCGGAGGGAGTTGCTGCCGGCAGCCTCTGGGGTCCAGGAGAGCCCCAAGGGCCTCCTTTTGGAGCGCTGTTTATGGGCCACAAGAGAGCGGGCCTCAGCCACAAATGCTTCATCATGGCCGCACTGTGGGTCAGCAGCCTGTCTTTGAAAGTGGGAGAGGAAGGATGTTGTGCCATTCAGGCAAGAAAAGTGGCTTCCAAGGCTGTTCACAGGACACCCCAGGAGCTCGTCAGACAGCACAAGCTCCTGGGAGCGCTCAGTGTCTCTGATAAGCTCAAGAGGAGCTGGGCCCAGGGGCTGTTCAGCGAGGCCCAGGCCTGACCCTTTCTCAGGCCACCATGTGGCCAGACAAGGCCGGGGGCATTCACCACCACAATCTGAAGCACAAAGTTTTGACCTAGGGTAAAAAGCCATGGCCCAGTGGAAGTGGGCCGTGTCCTCAGGCCTGTGGGAGAATCACAATGCAGATCCTTGTGTGACTGATTCCATCTCTCCCACTTTTCTAAGTTCTTGGTGACAAGGTCACTTAGGTTAGACACACAGCTCACAAGAAGTGCTCCTCTTTTTCTGCTCAATGAATTAAAGTGAGAATCGTGTCACATCCAAAAATTGTGTTCTGCTATGGTTTAACTGACGGTTTTGAGGAATTTCTAAAGCAGCAAACTTTCTTCCGCAAATATTTACTGTACATGGCATGGAGCACAGAGGAAAGATTTAACATTAAAAGCATTGCTCATGCAATGTCTCCCTGAAATTTGGTGGGGTTTTTTTTCCATTTGTCTCCAACCCTTTAGCTCCCTTTACTATCCTCACCCTTTCCTTCAGTCGTCTTTCCTTTTCGGGTAAAGTCCATCTTCGAACCCGTGCTTCTGCCTGGCAGAAGGATCTTGGTTCGAATCTGGGATCACTCTCAGAGCTGCAGCGACGGGAGCTTGGTACCCAGCCTCAGAACAAGGTCGGGTGACTCCAGTCGCCAGCGGTCGGCACAGAGAGGCAGAGCCAGACGCGTCTGCTTCCGCTGTGGCCGTGCCAACCACAACCTTCACAACCTTCACAGCCCCAGCGTGGGGCTGCCCCTTTGTGACACAATAGCCCATGGGGCTGCCCCTTTGTGATGCAATAGCCAGTGTTTCTCTTATTTCCATGGCTGCAAAACCCCACCCCAACTCCACCCCCTTC